GCAAAGTCAAGGTACATCTTTCATTTCCCCTTGAATTGGAGAAAGGACAGGCTGTGCTGTTCAGTGAAAGTGTGAAGAAGAACCAAAGGCATGAGATTTCCATGATGCCACACATTTCCTTTTAACTAATTCAAGCAGCACAGATGTTACTGAGGGATCCTTGGTGCTCTCTGAGCATGCTTGTTTTCTTGCAGATGGTTCATTACTCAAATTATCTAACATCAGCAGTGCTAGTAAGGAACTGTTCATTGGCAATTGTATTATTACTATAACCCAACATAAACAAATGGTTTGAATATTAAATTCTACCTGTGTTCTCTTCCTCAGTTGATAATGTTATTTTCCCTGAACCTGGGATACATAAGCCTCCATTTGTATAAAGTTAATTATGATCTCATGTTGATTGTATCAGCAGCTCATTGAGCAATAGGTCCTCTCAGATTGAGGTGTCATCTACTACTGTGTGTCAAGGAGTTGCTTTTACTTAGCATTCATACCCTCATGAATCATGTTTATCTGCTAGTGGAAACCAAAGCTCCATCTCTTCACACTCCCTTTGGCTTTCTGTCCTTAGAAGTGGCAAAAATGAAATTGTTCACTGTAACTCAAAAGAATGAAACATCTTGTTGTCATAATTACCTTATGCCTTCTTCTCTGGAATTGCTTAGCCCAGTATTGCTTGAATCAGATTTTTTTTTCTTCAGTTATAGAGTATTATAAAATACAAAAGTAAATAGAAGAACAGTAAGAGGGGGAAGGGGAAAGGGGGAAGTGAAGTGAGGAAAGGTAGGGGAAAACAAAAACAAAAAGAAGCATTGACTTCCGATTCTCTCGGTTACAGTAAAATAAGGCATTAACATCAGATCACAGCTTTTTGCTTTTCTATAATAGTTTGAACAAGTCATTTCTATAAAGACCTATCAATCTAATCTGTAAAACCCAAAGTTAGAGTTACATTCTTTTCCACATCAAGCATGAAGTTCAGAAGTGGTTTCCATGTGGAAACAAAAGTACTTATGTTCTTTTCTTAAATCAAAGTAGTCAGTTTTGCCATTTCCGTCAACTCCATCAACTTCTGCAACCATTCGTCCATGCTAGGAATTGAAGTGGGGAATTCTGGGAGTTGAAGTCCAGACAGCTTACAGTGGCCACGGTTGAGAGACACTAGCTTAGCCCAAGGAATAAGGACAAGCCAGCCCTATTGGTGTTTCAGAGGGCAATGGAGATGTAGCTCTCTTCAAGAACAGGAAAGAAGTTTGAATGTTGCTCATGAGGAATTGGCTTCAGGAGGTGGAGGGAGAAAGCAGACTGTTGATTACAAAATATTTTTGTTTATTTTACATTGTGCTTGTAATATTAAATGCCATATGGAGAAATTTTAAGCCTCCCAGACTGATTGGAGCAGACTAAAATCCTAGATACAAGTAGTCCTTGACTTACAACAGTGCATTTAGTAACCAAAGTTACAACAGCACTGAAAAAAATGGACTTATGACTTCTTTTCACACTTACAACCATTGCAGCATCCCCATGGCCACATGAATCAAAATTTGGATGCATGGCAACTGATTCCTATTTATGACAGTTGTTGTATTCTGAGGTCACATGATCCCCTTTTGTGATCTTCCAACAAGCAAAGTTAATGGGGCAATCAGTTCCACTTAACAACCATATTGTTAATGGCAGTGATTCACTTAACAACAGTGGCAAGAAAGGCCATAAAATGGGACAAAAATCACTTAGCATCTGTCTCACTTAGCAACAGAAATTTTGGGCTCAAATTGTGGTCCTAAATCAAGGACTAGCTTGTAAGGAAGAAGGAGGTTGCAATGTTACAAAACGTCAAAAAGACATGGTGGTGATTTTTCAGCCATGTTTGTCGGTACTCGGATCTAGATCTCGTGTCATTTCACCATTACAACTATGAGCCAGTCATTCTTTCTCAGCTCTAATTTACCTCATAGGGTTGTGGAAATATACACAAGTCAAGCTTCTGACAGGAAATGCAGGGTCAAAAGTAATATATATCACCTCAGTTATGTATTTCTTCACTTATAATTATAAGACTGTACAGATCCAGACAGGCTGGAAAACATCCACTTTTGGAGGCCAGGCATAACTGAAATATTTGAAGTAAAACACACAAAAATTGTCTACATTTCTGATCCCTTTTAAGCTTGAGGCACAGGTCAATTGATCCCTCATGTTCCCAACTTCAGGTCCTAGCATCAGTAATGGCTAGGAATGCACATCAACAGCCATCTTGAAAGCCCACATATAGTGATTTGTGTGAAACAGCTTAATGACATGCAAAGCTGGCAAAACATACCTAAACTTCTCTAAACCCGAGCTTCTTTGGTTTACAGGTGTTATAATAATGTCATAGTATTTATGTTTTGATTGTACTTTGTTTAAAAAGTTAGGAGACACCCCTCCCCCATTAGATTAGGCTTCCTAAACAGAGCAATATGTTCTATTCCAATTGTAACAGATGCCTAACTTCATAGGCAGATACTGTACGTTGTCCAACTTCTGTAATCATATCTTTCAAACTGGAAATTTTAGAAATTGAGAGATTCTAGGGGAAAATGTGTATTCTGCAGCTCAGCCCCAGTATGGCAGGAATGGGCAATGTAAGACCCTGTCCCCATTTCATAGTCACTAAAGCCTCCTAAAAGCACAGCATGAAATTTGTCAAACATGCCATTTTAGATGTCATAATTTTTTTCTGTGAGTTTATCGCCTAGCCCGATTCCCTAGCACCACTGAAGTATTGCTCTACTCTGTCTTGATAATATATACGACACCACACCCTATGCCTCTCCTCACCCCAGCCCTCCAAAATTAAATGATGTCTATATGTATATGCCGGGGTGAAATTCAACCACCTTGGCCCTCCTCAGGGGAGGTAGTAGGGACAATTTGAATCAGGAAAAACTCACCCCTGGTTGATATTACTATTATACCAAGTATACCAAGCCACGCCCACAGAGCTGATAGGGAAAAATATTGAATTTCACCCCTGGTATATGTGCATATATGTGTATGTGTAACTGTTTACTACCCTTGCTACAGACAATAACCATCTGTATGGCGGGCCAAAGGAATGTAAGAAAAGTCTACAATTCGATGACTGTAGAAGGTTCTTTCCTAAATTCAAACCAAGACAGAAATCCAGAACCCAAATTGTAAATTTATTCCAGACTCCAATATATATATTAACGTAGCATGATGTAAATTTAAATTACGTTTATTACCTTCTGGTGTGTAAAATGAAATTAGTCACTTTTGAAAATTGTGATACAGGGAAATTCCCAGTATTCTTCTCACGTTCTGTTAATGTAGGACTTGTTTTTTTACAGTATTGTGTATTTTAAACAAGTAGTGCATAACCACGGTATAGAATTTTGAATTTATTTTTTTCTGGAACAGTGAAATGCCAAATCTTGCTGATAAAAGTTTGGGATGGTTGTACTGTGTATACAGATAGTCCTCGAGTTACGATCACAACTGAACCCAAAATGTACGTTGCTAAATGAAACATTGGGCTAAGTGGCATTTTGCCCCATTTTACAACCTTTCTTGCCACAGTTGTTAAGTGAACCATTGCAGTAGTTAAGTTAGTAATATGGTTGTTAAGTGAATCCGGCTTCCCCATTGACTTTGCTCGTCAGAAGATCATAATAGGAGATCACATAACCCTGGGACACTACAACCGTCATAAATACGAGTCAGTTGCCAATCACCTGAATTTTGATCATGTGACCATGGAGATGCAGCAATAGTAGTGTGAAAAAATGGTCATAAGTCACTTTTTTTCAGGGCCATTGTAACTTTGAATGGTCATTAAATGAACTGTTGTAAGTCGAGGACTACCTGTATACTTGTGGTAACACATCATTGAGTAGGCACAAATACTTAGAAAGAAGGATTTAGGGCTCTGATCCTCCATCTAACCCCATCTCCAAAAACACTCTCTATATTTTGCCATAGAAATATGTTGAATTTGGTGCTGCTGTGTGGCATTTTTGAATGCATTATGTCCAGTGGTAGGATTCAAACAATTTAACAACCGGTTGTCCACCCTAATGATTTCTTCCAACAACCAGTTCAACGAACTGTTCAGAAAGTTAACAACCAAACTGGCTGAATCCCGTCACTGATTATGTCTAAAAGAAAAGAGAGGGGAGACTGCACTACTATTACTGTTAATCTTGTCATCACTCCTTATCACCATCCCTTCCCACTTGTGACTGCATGACTGTAACTTTGACGCTTGTATCCTTACAATTTATATTGACAGTTTTGTAGTATGATTGATTGCTTGTTGTGCCCTATGACTATCATTAAGTATTGTACCTTATGATTCTCCACTCTTGATGAATGTATCTTTTCTTTTATGTATACTGAGAGTATTTACACCAAGACAAATTCCTTGTGTGTCCAATCACACTTGGCCAATTAAAGAATTCTATTCTATTCTTTCTCTATTCTATTCTATTCTATTCTATTCTATTCTATTCTATTCTATTCTATATTCTATTCTATTCTATTCTATTCTCTATTGCAGAATAAGGTGATGGGAATTCTAGCAGGATAGACTGTCAGAAGCAGCAGGAGGATACTATAATTCTTGCTCCTGCGGTCCTGAACAGAAAAAAAAAAGTGCAAGTAGAAATCCCAAAATGGGAAGACACAACTCTTTTCCTTCTCCAATATTGTCATTCTTTACCTGTGAAATGTTATATTTTTATATAAACCCACACTCACACACACATATGGCATCATGTTCTGAATTAACAAGCCAATCACCCACTTTAACCCATTCTAATATTTTCACAAAATGCATAGGACAACAGAAATAGAATAATATAAAATTCTGGTTTATTTCACCATTATAAAAATAATATATTAATAACTTAAATTTCACAGGACAAAAGATCAGTGCTACTTTCAGGTTAGCAAACAAATAGAAACATTTATAAAAAGAAGCCTTTTTTTCCCTCAATGTGAAGATGAGACAAATTCCATAGGAATTATATATGTAATATATAATTATATAAATATGGATCTTCAGCCAGCAGATGTATATATTAGTCAATTATGTATAGCAGCTTTATAAAAGCAGAGATATCCTCCCCCCCGCAAAAAAATCATTGTTTTTCTCTCTTTCACGCAGTTTGTGTCATTACAATCAAATCCCAAACTATAAATATTAACATCTTTATAAATATATTCGCATAAATAAGTTCAGTGCAAATTTCCTCAGTTTGTTTTCACACCAGAGTTTTCAAATATTGGCTCCGGGAAATATAAGGTGAAAGATGGAGATTTTTTTTAAAAAATCAGTCTTGGTTGACCTTGACTTTGCTTGGATTCACAGCCTGAGTAAGAGTCCCAAATAACCGGTCCCAGTGTGTAAAGTAAGGTGCATAGTTGAACTTGAACTTCAGGTGGTGGAGATCGTGGTGAGGAGCTCCTCCATACAGGCCAAAAGGCACCAGTCTGTGGGTTGACCAGGGCAAGTCATAGCCAGAATGATCTTCTACTGACAACCAGATGTTGGCCACGAAGAAAGTCATTTCCGTCAACGGATGACACCTCAACAGCATTGGACCAAGGACAGCAAAGAAACCCAGCCAGAGCAGCTCCCAAACGCTGGCATACTGGGTGGTGAGAGCGAAGGTAGAGACGTGCTTGTGGTGGACCTTGTGGAAATGTTTGTAGAGCCATGGCACCTTGTGATGGAGCAAATGCCACAAAAAGGAGAAGAAGTCGAACAGCAGCAGGCAAGCAGCGAGCTGCAGGAGAAGCGCTGGTACCTCGGGAGCGATGCTGGGCAGGCTCACCGGCCTCCAGTACCAATGCGCAACAGTCACGGGGAAGATGCACACGAGGTGGTGATAGATGCTCTGGGCCAAGCAAAGAACCATCATCTGCGGGGTAGGCGACGTCTGCGGCTGGATTTTATACTTCCTCAAGACGGAGATCCGAGGGCTTAACAAATCCAGAGCGAGAAAAGGCAGGCAGAAAGCCGTATAGATTGCAAAGTTGAACAGCGCCGGGAAGAACGGAGACTTAATCAAGTCCTCCCGCCTTCGGACAAAGTCCCAGAGAGGCTGGAGAGCCAGCACGTTTGGCGAGTCATCACAACAAAGCAGCGCGCTTCCGTTGTGTGTGCTGATTTCCATTGCAGCCGTCGCGGTCGCTGTGCTCTTGGTCTACTGGAGCTGTTGTTATGCCTCAAGTCCCTTTTAATGTGCTCCCGTGGATGACGTAAGGAAAAGAAAACTTCCCGCAAGTAACCAGCTCAGTTCCTTTTTCCCTTGAAAAAAAAGTAACCGGGAGGGACGGGGCTGAGGAATTTCCCTTCTCTTCCGCCAAATGTTTATCTTTGGGTGAGCTATCCTTCGCCCTGACTCGTGTGTGTGTGTGTGTGTGTGTGTTACAACAGACTGGATTTCGCAGCTGAAGAGCAGGCAGAAAAAGGATGGCATAGGAATGGCACCGAAAAGAATTGTATTAATGGCATTTATTTTAGAAGAGAAACGGGGAGTAAAGATCACAATCGAGCTTTATGACAGTTATGTGTATTATGTATATTATATATATATATAACATATTATTATTATATATATATATATTATATATATATATATATATATTCGGGTGGTATTTATATGTGTGTGTATACACTTTGTTCGGGTATTTTCCCACGTCATTGTAGTTGTGCTTTTAAAGTTGTGGCAACGTTTCGGCAGAATCTCATCTGCCATCATCAGGCTTCTGTACAGTGTTCATCCAAAGCTGAATGCCATACATGTAAGTACCCGTGAAAACTTAAGAAAACACACACACACACACACACACACACACACACACACACACACACATATATATACATATATATGTATGTATCTTCTGCTTTGGTTTCTGAGGAGGATTCTCAGAAGCCAAGGCGTTTAAAGCAAAAAGTGTAGCATTCTGGAAGCAGAGCCAAAAACAAATTTAGAGGCACTTTCCAACTGTCAATTTTAATAAGCGGCCCGGTTTGATGAGCATTGCCAATGGGGATCATGCTTTCATTCTCATGTTGTAAGGTGTCATTTCAGAAGTTTTGAAAACATGACAGGGGGGAAAAGATTCACTAGAAAATTCTTAGAGATTAGATAGGATGCCACCTTCAGGATTCCAGCCTATGTTTTTGTTATTTTGTAAAATGAATGGGAGTATTGCAGGCTAGTAACAGTGTGATAGAATGGGGTTATCATTGTTGGAAGAAATATCCTGGATTCAGTTCCAAGTGGGGGAAAAGATACTGGAAACATGGTGACTACTTGGAAAGATGGTTTAATGGTGGATAGGATCACACGCCTGGGAGCTTCTGGGTGAAAAAGGGCAGAAATGCTGATAGTCCCTTGGTTTCATGCCCTCTGTTGGGATTTGAATTGGAGCTTGTATTCTGATTGGTTGTCAGACTCCCATAGGGCCATGCAGGGGCAATTCTGTAAGCTGTCCTAAGTCCCAGGCTTGGTTGAGCCTTGCTGGATGATGATGTAATGAAAAGGCTTTGGGATTCCTACTATGGGTCTGTCTGAAGGGGGTAGATCTTTGTTATGTAGAATAAACTGCCCCAGGCCTTAATGGACCATTAGCAAAGGAGGGGTGGTGAGTTTCTGGCTGAGTTTCTACTTCTCTTTTAGTGGAAATATTTCATTTTTCTAAGAGAGGAGTGAGTTATAACTTCCAACATCATTCTGACCTTGAATTTCAGGTAGCTTTCAAGGATCATCCATTCATCTTGGTTACCACAATATGAGTTATCAATGACTTGGCAAGGTATGTGCTCACGTTGGAGCCTCTATCTTTTCATCAGAGCACTCTGAGGCAGGCTGAAGTCAGACAAAGGCTAACAAATATTTTCCATCCTCTAGCAGAAGAATATCTCCTGGGTCAGAGACCTCCAAACTTGGCAACTTTAAGACTTGTGGACGTCAACTCCCAAAATTCTCCAGCCAGCATAGCTAGCTGAAGAATTCTGGGGGTTGATGTCTATAAGTCTTAAAGTTGCCAAGTTTGGGGACCCCTGTTCTAGGTGCACATGTCACATCATATGTAAAAAGAGCCTGCAAGACTTCCCCTTTCCTTGAGAGACAAGGGCCATTTTGGTTGGGGTTGCAGTGGGGCTGGACACCTCACTGATACGGTTTCATTGATTTGTTATTTTTGGGTCTGAGGATATTGATCTCATGGAAAGACCAGTTGATTGAGGTGAGAAGCTTGTGGAACTCCCACACGCCCCCATCAATCATTATTTGTCTGCAGTACTTCTGTTTTTTTCCATGTTCTGAAAACCACATCTTTTCCTTTTTCAGTTTCATACATAGGAACATTCAAAGGGCAACATTCCTATGGCAACGCTTTTAAAAATTCATGAGGTTTCAGCTCTGAAAGAGAACGAAATAGTGGTTCTTCTAGTCAGTAAGCTTGGTTTGAGGTTGGCTGACAGTGGTGATGGTGATACAAGCACTCCAAACTGAGATCAGTTGCTATCTTGAAAGTAACTCCCATTACTTTCCATGAAGACAGCATCAAACCTTGTGGCTGAAGAGCAGAGAAAAGCAGATTGCAATGAAGTTCTTCTCAACTGTTGAGTCCTTGGGACTCATCACAACGAGACATTAGGACAACTTATTCTGGAAAACAGAATAAGAACAGCACAGTGAACACTCTCAACTCAGATGTCTCACCCCAAACATCAAAGCTGAAGCTTTCCTGGTCATCTGGAAAGATTGCTAGCACTTCAGGCAGCCTCCATGCCATGGTGGTTTCATTCTCAGGATCTCTCTGAGAATGAAGAGATCCTTAGGGTTCACATTGTTCTCTTCCTAAAAGATGTGCTGAGGGTCAGCCATGTATAATTTCTGCAAAATGCCGTTTTTATTTTCAGGGGGCAAATCACATTCACTTAACATCCCTAATATTGTTTCAGTACTGAGCCATGTTAATATCTACCCGTCTAACAGAATAAAATAACTATTGTTCTGTCTCTTTATCTATCAATCTTGGCATGGGGGTTATTAAATCTTTCTTGTCTGATTATTATCTATTTTGGAACATTAAACACTTGATGACTCAGTAATCTGTGGACTCGTTTCCAGTTCATAATATATTAAATACCAAATGTGGGTGAGAGGGTGGGTTTTGAAACTGCAAGATCGGAGGAAAAGGTTGCACGAAAAAGGACAAGCAGTAATAATTACTTAGTTAACCCTAGCCTTTGAAATTGTTCTTAGGTAATGTTAGAAATGTGTTATCAGTCAGGAACTGATTAATATGTCCAGCGTGACTTGAGGAGGCACCCAATTTTGTTCAAGCACAGGAAATAATTGAATATCCTGATGAGACACGGTTACATTGGTTTTGCAATCTATCTTTCAAATTCCTCACGTTAGGTTTGTCACTCAAACTCACAACATGATGTTGCACCATCACAAGAACATCTATAAGTTCTGCTTCCTTGAGCTGGCCAGCAACCCTCTTGTGGGCCAATTCTGGAAGCAACCAACATTTCACCCATTCCTGATCTTCAATGTTATCATATCAGCTTCATGTGACAGAGGAAGAAGGCAAAACAGCCGCACTCAAGAAGCATCAAAATTGCTCTTCTGTTTGGCCCAGAGAAAACAAGATAGCAAAGGACAAAACAGTAGAGGGTCTTGGCTTGAGATAGGAGGATATGAACATTAATTGCCTGTGCTATATTTTATATTTAAGGCAGGGTATTTTCCTCTTCCCTTTATTATAGGAAGGAAGGAAGGAAGGAAGGAAGGAAGGAAGGAAGGAAGGAAGG